AACAAGTGACTACATACGAACTAAAATGAGTGAATCTACATTCTAAAATATGTCTATATACATCCGTATCTTGTAGTTCATTTGAATGTCTAGAAAGACAAATATTTAGGAACGGAGGAAGTATAAACTCAAAGATAATAATAAGAGAATTATGACATGAAACGTACTTACATACCACGCCTTCAGATTCATTAGACACATGGATTGGCTGGAACACTTCCATAAAGATCAGAGAGGAGGCATGTGGCGACGAATGACTCTTTCGGCGGCCGCGGCGGCCAGCCTAAAGGCGAATCGAATCAGCAGGATCCAGCGGCGTGTATGTGTGTGAGGAAGGACTATAGCAGTGTGCGCCTGTGTGCTACTACTTGACAAGGCCTTGTTTCACTTCTTTTCTTCTTGCGATCGAACACGATGATACACGAACTGTCGGTGTCAAAACCGGCGGATCTCGGGTAGGGGGTCCCGAACTGTGCGTCTAGACGGATGGTAACAGAAGACAAGGGACACGATGTTTTACCCAGGTTCGGGCCCTCTTGATGAAGGTAAAACCCTACGTCCTGCTTGATTGATATTGATGATGTGAGTATTACAAGAGTAGATCTACCACGAGATCAAGGAGGCTAAACCCTAGAAGATAGCCTATGGTATGATTGTTGTTCGTCCTACGGACTAAAGCCATCCGGTTTATATAGACACCGGAGAGGGCTAGGGTTACATAGAGTCGGTTACAATAGTAGGAGATCTACATATTCGTGTCGCCAAGCTTGCCTTCCACGCCAAGGAAAGTCCCATCCGGACACGGGACGAAGTCTTCAATCTTGTATCTTCATAGTCTTGAAGTCCGGCCGATGATGATAGTTCGGCTATCCGGACACCCCCTAGTTCAGGACTCCCTCACGAACCAAGCTGGAGCCCTGGGACGCATTGGAACCTTCTTTTTGTTTATTATCACGAAGCCGGCCTACAAGTCCCTCACAGCCCACCACTGCGGGCAGGACTCTAAGGCCTTTCCCATGCTTCACCTTGTACCTGTGCTAGGGCTGCCAAACATGTGAACCTAGGCAAACCACATAAATAAAGAAAACTCGCCAATGCTTTGCAAGACCTTAGTTACTAAATCATTAAACGGAGGGAGATTAGTTACAACAAGTTAAGTACCATTACGACATTTTGTTGGTAAACTTTTAAATGTGCTTAGCACCTCACCTAAGCATCTATGCATTGAAAGAGGTCTAACTGGGCTTGTGCAGCCCCTCTTTCTCACTCCATCTCGAGAAGATGAAAGTAGTTTATTTATTTTTCTGTCGCATTCCATGGAGTTTAGTACTCCGTCCGTCCGGGAAAAGTTGTCCACGTGGTGTTTTTCTGAAACCCCCCCAGCGAATTCCCGACAAACCCGCAGCTCCCGCCGTCTCCCCCGCTCCTCTGTCGTGCTGGAGGTCCGCTCCCCCGCACCTCAGCTCCTCCACAGCTCCCCCGTAGCTCGGCTCCTCCACAACTCCCCAGCAACTCCCCGCATCGCCGGAGCTCTCCCGCCCCACGCCTCCCCCGCAGCTTCCATCTTGTTCCCCTCCTCGTTCCCCATGGTGATCCCTGATGAGGAGAAGACTGATTTTTTCTTTCGATCTGCTCGGCGGCGGCCATTTCTAGGTGCTCCTCCTCAGCGCTGCGGCGACAACTCGCCCGAGGTGGCGGCGCAGGCGAATAGCAGCAGTGGGCACGCGAGCATGCTACGAAGGAGGCCACCTTCGGCGTCGGCGCGCACGCCACCATGCCGCGGTGCGTCAATGACCTCGCGGACGCCGCCAAGATCATCATGGGCCCCAAGGTTCGTCAGTGCCCCCCTCTCACTACCTCTCGCTCCCTGCGATGCGCTACTTGCTTGCGTTGCACTAGCGCCATTTGATTATCAAGAGAAAGAACAGATCCCCATTTGCTTGGCAACTGAGTGCATTACATGTAAGGTTTAAAGATCTAAAACGCTGATCTTTATGCTCCCCATTGCATGTAATTGAATTGATGGGGAGAAGAACGTTGAAATTCAGTTTGCAAAGCATTCCCCTTGTGTTGAAATTCAGTTTGCAAACAATGTTGAAATTCAGTTTGCAAAGAGTTGAATAGTGGAGTACTATCAAAACTGCAATGCTCACTTAAAACAGTGGAGTATTCACAGTTTAAGTTACAGATCATGAATACTCTATGGAGTATCATGGAGCAGTACAGTACTAACAACATCTTCATAAATGAATTTTGATAGTTTTAACTGTATTTATGGTGTTAATGTAGTGTTATGCATTTTTTATCAATCATCCTGATGCCGTCGTGTGGACATGTGGTAGCACTGAATAATGAATTTGTGTTAACACTCAATTTGTGGACATGTGGATACTGAATTTGTGTGGACATGTGGTAGCACTAGTAGAAAAAGGACCTAATGTGAGACACATTAGTCCTGGTTTGATTTTGGCCCGGTACTAATGGTACTATTAGTGCCGGTTCGAACGGCTATGCATTAATCCCGGTTCGTTTTGAACCTTTAGTACCGGTTCGTGTCACGAACGGGTACTAAAGGGGTGGTGGTAGGCTGGCGTCAGGCCGGGGCCCCGCGATCACCTTTAGTACCGGTTCGTGGCACAAACCGGTACTAAAGGGCTAACCTTTAGTACCGGTTCGTGCCACGAACTGGTACTAAAGGGGTTTGACCTATAGTACCGGTTTGTGGCACAAATCGATACTAAAGGGAAAATTTCAAACTCTACCCCCCCCCCCGTGTATCGTCATTTCAGTTTTGAAAAATACAAAAGAAAATGATAAAAAATTCAAAAAATAAAATTCTTCGAGATGTAGTTATATTACTACATCTATTAGTTAGGAAAATTAAAAAACTTAAATTTGGACATGTTTTGCAAAAAGTGTAGGGAAATGTAAAACGGCTATAACTTTTGCATACGATGTCGGAAAAAACGTATAATATATCAAAAAATTCAGCACGAAAATCCGCATCCGATTTTGACCGCCTACGGCCTGGTTGCAATTTTTTAGAATCCTTAAATTCCAAAAGGAGAAAAAGATATGCTCAAATTTAAGTTTTTAAAATTTTGGTTAAATCTGGTCAAACTACTTATTCAAGAAGTATTAGTGTTACTACATACTTATTCAAGAATATTAGTCTTACTAAATAATTATTTCAACTTTTTGAATTTTGGTCAAATCTGGTCAAACTATGATCAAACTATGGTCAAACTTATTCAAGAAATATTAGTGTTACTAAATAAGTACTATTTTTTAGAATAATAGTTTCAAACTCAAACAGTGAAATATGTGACCTAATGCTCAAGCTAAAGTGCTAAGGGTTAATAGGATTTACAGCTTACATTTGTCAGGAAAACAACAAGTGCAGACATGGAAAGTAGGGGGAATAGAACTCTGAAGTTAAGCGTGCTCAGGCTGGGGGAGTGAGAGGATGGGTGACCGGTCAGGAAGTTATATGATTTGGAATGAGTGATCCACATTTGAGTAGTTAAGAGGGGCGATTAGAGACTAAATCATCAAATAATTCAGAAAACTGAAAATCAAAAAAAACATTTTTTTCCAAATTTTAAAAAAAATACCTTTAGTACCGGTTGGTAACACCAACCGGTACTAAAGGTCCCCCATACCACGGCGCGAGCTCACGCCACGTGGTGGGCCTTTAGTGGCGGTTCGTGCCGAACCGGTACTAATGGGGGGGGCCTTTAGTCTCCACTCTTTAGTGCCGGTTGCAGAACCGGCACTAAAGGCCCTTATGAACCGCTATTAAAGCTCCGTTTTCTACTAGTGTAGCATTTCATTTATCAAGAGAGCCGCTGCAACTGCCATCCACCGCCACCACCGCCCCGCCCTGGCTGAAGTGGTCCTACGGGCCGCACCCGGCTGCGCTGCCCATTGCCGCCACCGCGCCGCCGTGGCAGCCGCCGCACCAAGCGGCCTTCGCCGCGCTCGCCGGGCCACCGCAGCAGCCACCGCTGGTCAGCTCGGGCCCCGCATCGACCGCGCCGGCAGGAATCCCGATCCACCAGGTCCGGTTCTCGCCCTCGCCGTCCCCGCTACCGGCTTGGTTGACCAAATCGCCGTCTATGCCAATCTACACGATGGCCTTGGGACCGCCACACATGCCGTCACAGCAGGCGCAGTACGACGCGTCCTCCAGCTGCAGGCCCCTACGTTGGCCTTGACACGCCGCCGTTTCGGGGGGGGGGGCTGTGTTGACCGACCCGGCGCCGCTGCTCCGCACCGCCGAGCCGTACCCCCATGGCGGTCATACCCAGATGGCGCCGCGCTTTGCCAAGCTCACCTTTGCCACCAACGACAGCACCGAGGACCCCCTCAACTGGCTTAATCAGTGTGACTAGTTCTTCTGGGGGCAACGCATGCTCGCGTCGGACCGCACCTGACTCGCTTCATATCACCTCCGAGGCGCCGCACAGACTTGGTATTACGCTCTCGAGCAGGACGAGGACAGCATGCCTCCATGGGAGCCTTTTTGCGAGCTCTGCCTCCTTCGCTTCGGGCCGCCGATAAGCGGGAGCCGGATGGCGGAGTTAGGCCGTCTCCCCTTCACCTCTATGGTGCAGAACTTCACCAACCGCGTGACGGCTCGACAGCGGGCCGAGCTCTTCGTCGGCGGTCTGCCAGATCATATCCGTGTGGACGTGGAGCTGCAGGGACCCCAGGACCTCCAGGCGGCCATGTACTATGCCCGCGCGTTCAAGCGCCGCACGGTGGCCATCCAGCAGGCGTCAATGTCCTGGGCCGCTGGGCCGCCACCCTGGCCGGACGTTCCCGCGCAGAGGCTGGGGCGCGCGGTGCCCGTGGGCGTCGGGGAGGAAGAAGGGCAGATTAGCATGATATTTAAAATGATAAGGTCTTTTTGGCAAAATTACAATTGAACTGCGCTGGTGATAACTTTTCCTGGACGGAGGGAGTACTACGGAATCGACCACGCAGCTGTGCCGCATTCATTTCTCTATCTTGGTCAGAGTGCCCAGCTCTTTCACAAGATGGTCATTGACACTACCCCAATAAAACTTGCCCAGTTTTGGTCCATCTAGCACTTCCAAAGAAGTCAAGTTACCAATCCCAGGCATGAGCTTCATTGATTCATCGATACGCAGGTACATCAACCTCCTTAGCCGAAGAACACTTGATGGCATTTCTTCTATTCTTGTTTTACTAACATCAAGGACTTGCAAAAACTGCAGCTTTCCCATATCCATTGGAAACTTCTGAAGGTAACGATGATTCAGTCGTAGGTACCTCAAATGCAAAAGTTTACTAGTATCTGGAAAAGGATAATGTAAATCCAACACACGTAGAACTTCACAACTTGACGTGTTCAGAAGTTTGTCAACAGTATCATGTGTGAAAACATCAATAGATCTTACTTGTGCCAGACTGATGGTAGTCACATCTACATTGATATTTTGGATTGACAATCTTCGGACCTTGCTTTGCGAGTTAGGCATTTTTCTCTCGGTACCATCCAATATAGTGACAAAGTTCTCTTCACTTGCCAATGAACATAAGAGATCAAGCACCATGTCATGTACACGACACGCTTTTACCTTTTCTTCATTATCAATGCCTATTGGCTGGATCATACTTCTATTTACTAGCTCATTGAAGTAGCTGTCACCAAGCTCATATAAGCTAGTTCCTTCTTGTTCACTATTAACAAAACCTTCTGATATCCATTTCAATATCAGATTGCGTCTCTTAATCATGTGATCATCTGGAAAGACACTTAGATATAATAAGCATGGCTTAAGATAAGAAGGTAGATCATCGTAGCTGAGTAATAATATCTTCTTCATCTCCTTTACACTATGGTCTTCTGTGAGTCCACGTCCAATGGAATCGAGCACAGTATCCCATTGGTCTTTTTCTTTCAACCTGTTATTACTAGCTAGAAGACTTGCTACAGTGATAACAGCTAATGGTATTCCACCACATTTCTTCAAGATGTGGTTGGATACTTGTACCAATTCATGAGGACATCCTTCACCGGCAGAAAATATTCTTCTACAGAAGAGCCTTCTTGACACATCATCTGAAAGAGGTTTCATTCTATAAATATCATGAGTGGAAGAGCAACATGCTTCAGCGACACTAAGGATGCGGGTTGTTGTGATTAATCGACTTCCGAGACTGTTACTGGAGAAAGCACACTTGATTAATTGCCACAGTTTACCATCCCATATGTCATCAATTACAATGAGGTACCTATATGAATATATATCGTGAGAGTTAGTCGAAAATAAATAAATGAAGATATATCCATGCTTTTGTATAAGGAGAGGCTATGAGTTATATTTCGGGTAAACTGACCATGGTAAACTTAGGGAATTTGTAAGAACATTGTAGCCCTATAACTAATCAATAATATGCTAGTACGACGTGTATGCACCAATAAAACATGGTGATAATTTTACTGGACGAAATGACTGACGATCTATAGCATGAGAAAATAAGCATACCTTTTGCCATGGAGGAATTCAATGAGTTCATCAATGAGATGCTTTTCTTCTCGTGTTGTATCATATATGTTTGAATATGCCTTCTTGTCGAGCTCAAAAAGAATATCCTTAAAGATTTTCTTCATGTCGGGATTCTGAGAAACCGAAACAAAAGCACCACAATCAAATTGCACTTTGATCTTGCCATACACTGTTCTGGCAAGAGTTGTCTTTCCTAACCCACCAAAACCAACAACAGAGACTGTTTTCAGAAGACCTTTTGACCAAGCATCACCTTGAAATAGCATGTTGATCAACTCATCTCGTGGTTCTTCAATTCCATTGAGCTCTGTCACATCTGTGTAAAGAGCCATCGTGCGAGGGTCAATGCTTGCACCAGCACCCGTATCCCATGTCTCCATCTCGTGCATATCCGGTGTCTCGAGCTTGTACCTTTGGCGCAACTCAGCAAGCTGTTTAGCCTGCCCAACCGCGTCTTCTAGAGCATCGGAGATTCGATGGAGATCTTTACCCTGCTTGAATAATTTGGATGTCTTCTTAAGTAACTTCTTCACTCTATTCTTGGAGTTGGTAGGTCCACCGCCATCGTCGACGCGCAAGATGAATGCATCGATGATGTCCTCCATTTGGTGGGCCAGGTCTCTCACCATGCCTGCCCAAATCTTGACCCCCTCGTCGAGCTGCTCCGGCGGCACTTTGGCCACCTTGTGGAGGGCGGCGTGCATCAGCTTCAGCTCCTTGTTGAGGGTGTCGACGCCTTTCCTCACACGCTTCTCTAGGGTGAACTCGCCTGCGAGCAGGCCCCCCAGCTTCGGGAGGAGAGGGCGGATGGCCAGCATGGCGAGCTCCATGGTTGGTCCTCTCTACGTGTGAGATTGTGCTAGTTCTTGGGGCGTGTGGAAGAAGGGTGGTCGGGTTGTAGGAATGCTCTCGCTTGCTGTTGCAGAGAAGATCTAAATCAGGATTGAGGCGAGTGATTAGCAGAGCTTGGTTTTTGGGTATTCAAGTGCAAAACAGCTTGCAAGGATGGTCATGTGCAGGTGCAGCCATGTGCACGCACGTTAGTTGTGTCTCTACAGGAACGTGCAGGCAACGAAGGGCAACAAATGGCCAGGTCAACTTGTGGGAGGAGCTCAAACGGTAACATCACATGCACAACCGTTTTGCCGTGTACCCTAATGTTGCCTGACGTAACATCAACATGATAGTCTGATGCCTCATTGGTAGGAGTAGTTGCCAACTGCCTATTCCTCCTTGAGACCATCGTGATCACCGTTCGCGCCGCACCTGTGGAACAGCCTGGTAGCCACAATAATTAAGAATAATCAATACCGTTTGTCAACCCTATTCTGTCGGACGACACACAAATAGCTGTATTGTACATGTCTTGCAATGACATGGAAGAAGCTGCCTTCCACGTTGCCCGTGACCAGCCAAGCATAACGGATTAGGATAATTCCATTGGGTAAGGTCATGTACTGTGTGTTAGAAGGGAGAGAGAGGTTTGGTGGAATTGTTCATTCATATATTGCTTGAGCCTTGTGGGCATATATATAGGAGTACAATCATCTATTTGGAGTACAAGACAAGCCAGAACAAATCCTAGTCTATCTCATCTTTCCTAATAAACATTATACACAACATCCCCCGCAGTCACAACGGTGAGACTCCGAAGGCAAGCCGACGGACCCCCCCCCCCCACAGTCGTAACGGTCGACGCATCGCGGAGTCGTGGCTGGAGTGGGAACCGACGAGGTTGCTTAAGCAAGGCGATAGCCCGTCTTCTGAAGTGGTTTCAGTTCTGAACTTGTTTTGCTACGACGTTTATTTGCACTGGTCGCCAACTTTGACAACCAGTGTATATAATATGCTGCTTTGTTCCCTATATTTGCACTGGTGACGAACTTGGATGCCCGGTGGATGTAATATGTGTAATAGCCGTGATAGCCTAGCGTAAGTTACTTGCTTACTTATCTCTTTGTTGTCTTATTTATTTGTTTGCTTATAGTCAGTGCAGTTTTTTTTCTGCGGTTTGCTAGTGGCCTCAGTAACCTATTTTTAAAAAATTAGGCCACAATAACCATGGGCTACATATTTACTGTAGTTACCATGGCCTCCTACAGGCCGTAGAGACAATGGGTCTTCTAAGGGTCGTAGAAACAATGGGCCTTCTATGGGCCGTAGCATCAATGGGTCTTCTACGGGCCGTATGATCGATAGGCCAAACATGGGCCGATGACAGACCGCATTATGGGCCGTAAACGGGCTAGATTTGAAATGGCCCGTTCATGGGCCGAGAATAATGGGCCATCGTTAATGGGCCATTTTTTATGAAGCTATGAAAACGGCCCAACCGATTAACGGGCCGCAAACGGACCGATTGTAACCACGGGCTGAATTTGGACCACAAGCAGAAAAGGCCAGTAACGGGTCGTAAGTAACCGAATGCTGGAAATGAGCCCAAAAATAAACGGGCCCTGAGAAGGCTGAAAGATAACACGGGTTGGAAATGGCCCAATGGAATAATGGGCTATTGATGGGTATAATGTGGTACACTGTTCATTGCGGGCCAGATTCACCACGGGTCGTTAACGGGCCAAGACTTACAAATGGCCTCGTATGAGCCGAAAGACATCATGGGCCATACATGGGCCAGAAGTTACAACGGGGTGGAATCATATTGGACGGACCAGATGAAGCTACTGGGCTTAATTCTGATAGGCCATAACGGGTCGTGAGTTAGCGGGCCGTAAATGGACTATATACGAACAGGCTATTAACAGGCTTTCCGTGGGTCGGCCCGTTATCTTTTGACCAAGTCAAACGGGGCGGCCTTTTCACTGGAATGGGTCTCTGTTGGGCCGTGCAACGTGTCAACGTATCATAGGCGCCTCCTGTCCAATTAATGGATGACATCTATCCCAATGGTGAGCCAGCACATGTTTCCTCCGGCCAATGACAATTTTACACGTGGAAAATCCTCATTGGTCCGGGCTGTTAGCGGGTTATCGGATCTAAAACCGGACCCAATAGTTTAACGACGACCCGTTACGGTGGATGCCATGTGTCGGTCACCCTTGACGAAAGCACTTCCATGATGCGTCATTTATCGTCATGGAAGTGCACACTTCCGTGATGATAATTTTGGTAATGTCATGGAACACTTTTACGACAGCACATGTATGACTACCTTGATTCTGTTATAAAATCATCATGGATGTACATGCATGACAGAAAATGTGACCTACTGTGACAAACACGTATCATCACGGAAGTGTCTTTTTTTAAAGTGAGATAGGGCGTCAATTTCACGTCTCCCGGATATTGGCTCAGGAGATTTCCACCGAGTAGAGTGTGTTTCAGTGCTTTAGTGAAATTTTAGGAGAAAGGACATCCATCTATATTGTACCAACTAAACTTGAATCCATTTTGCCTTTAAATATGAATCTATATACCCGATTGCAAACATATTATATGTTCTAAAGCACAACAAAAGATTAATGCCCGTTACGCAAGAATTCTAATACTTGAATCCACTTTATGTGGGATTTGAATGTTTGAAACCACCTTATGTTGAATTCAAATATATATATGAGTCTCTATCTAACTATTTTGGATTTATACCATGTATGTTTCCTACTCATAATATGTTTGACACATGCTACATAAAGTGTGCTCCCATTTATATATGCATTTCAAAATCCATCGAAAATTCAAACATTTGAGTCTATGGATTAATAATATGAAATGACACCATGCAAATGCTCAAAGTCAAATTGATATACTTGTTTGATAGATCTATCTCCCTGAAGGTATGAATTGCAAATACCGTGATCTCTAATTTAATATTTAAATCTAATTTATATTGGGTTATGGTGCATATGAGTCTTCTACACATACACGCAGCCTCTTCTCTCTCCCGCACTCCCATTTTCTCCGTAGCTAGCACTCTTTCTCTCGCGCACATACACACACATTCTCCATCGGCTTCTCACACGCTCTCTATCTCTATCAGTCTAGGTATCTTTAGCTCGAACACCGACTCCCTATAGGTATGGTCTCTCTCGCTCACAACGTGTGTATCTCATACGTACATCTCTCTCTCATTAGCTAGACCCCATCTCTCTCTATCTTTTTTTTTAGAAAAGGAGGATGACCCCCGGCCTCTGCATCTGGGAGATGCATGCGGCTGCTTTATTGATTATTCTCGAGGACCTTACAAAGTATTACAACAATATGTCTGAAACAATTGGCAACATGCCACTACTCCTATCCATATGATGAAGGGGTGCTAGCTGGGCCAAATACCCAGACCACTCACCTAAGCCTATCATGAAAAGCCGGAAGCCCCAACCGAGTCACATACCGGGTCTGGGGCACAAACCGGTCTGACGCACTTACATGTGTCGTCGCCGCCATCATTCCACAGGTCCATCTTCAGAGCAGATATTGAGGCTTCTACTTTGTTAGGCCACTCTGCCATCGACGCCACCATCACGCCAGACAGCGTCCTCCTCCTGCGCGAGTCCATCTCGAAGCATCGGACGCCAAGTCTCCACTGCACCACGCTGCCAAGGTCGGCCGCCATCAATGTTTAAGATCAAGCACCACTCACCCAAGAAACTAACCACCGTTCCCTCGAGTCCGTATACACCTCCAAGAATGATGCCCCCAAGGGGCTACACAAAAGTGCCGCCATCATCCGATCTACTGATCTAGGGTTTCCCCCGGAGGTAGCAGATAGTTGTCTTGAACTTCTCCTTGTGGATGCCTTCAAGAAGGAAACACCATAAAACAGCGCTGTCACCGCCGGCCTTGGCCAGGTTTTCACCCGTATCAGAACAGAGGACCTCCATCAAGCAACTTGTACACGAACCGCCGCCATCTTTGCCGGGGACTGGACGAAGAATCCAGGCCGCCGCCGCCTGACCGGACATAACACCACCATGGTGCCTAGGACGGCATTGTCAGGCCCACCATGCCTGCCTGTAGAAGCTCACCAAATCGTCCGGCCCGCCAAAACCGATGTGGATACAGCGAGATCCGCGATCTGGCCCGCCGCCACAGGGGCTCCTCTGTCACGGTATCGCGCCTGCGCTGACGCCGCTGTCACACTCGCCGCTCAACGCCGCCGATGCCCCGCAGTTCCGTGCGCCGCCATCATTGGCCAGGCTACGGGCGTGGCCTCCGGCGGCGGCAGGGGAGAGAGGGCGAGGGACGAGGCCTTTGGGTCGGCGGCGGCAGATCGCCCCCCGTGTCGCCTAGGTTAGGCGGCGCGGGGGCAGTATTGACTGATTATGATAGCTGATATATAAAATCTATCTATCTATCTATCTCATATATACACACTTTCTCTCTCCGTGCATCTTCTCTAGATCTCTCGCACACACTTCCTATCTCTAGGCCACCCCACTCTCTTTATCTGTCTCACGCGCGCGCACTCACAACACACAGACACACTATATGTAGTCTATGTTTTGCACACACACACACCACATAGGTATAACCATCTCTTACTCTCCATCACAAACA